TATATATATAACTTTCAAATTAGGGTTTAATTTTTTGTTTTGAGAGTGGGATTCATATTTACTTGATTATTATGTTTTTAAAAAAATATTATTTATTTATGGAAATAAAGAATATTCCTGTATTTTGAAAAAGAAATGGTACCTGGCTCCGCTGCCGCCGCTCGAACGATGAACCGAGTCGATGGGACCCGATGATCCCGAGAAGCTTAATCAACGGCTCAGATTTCACCGTCATAGCCCGCTTGTTGGGGGGACAAACCTCGTCTCTCTCGGGTTCCTCGCCGCTGCTGCTCCCGCCGGTGCCGCCACCTCTATTACGACGTCGTTTCTTTTTCGATAAACTAGCGGAGCTCTGGACATCGCTGCTCTGCTTCTTATTTTCGTCGTCATCGTCTGTCCGCCTTCCTGTCGGTTCATTTTTGGGTTGAACCGGATCCGGTTCTTTCCTAACGTCCGGTTCGGTTTTAACCTGAGCCCTTCCTTCTTCGCCTGTTACTCCCGCATCTGCTTCCACGACGTCGTTTTCTTCATTCTTTACCATCTCGGTCGCCGGCTCAGGTTTCTGACTCGTGGAATTGGACTCGTTGAAGGATCGGTCATCGCGCTCGCCGGAGTCTTCCTCGACGGCGGGCTTCCCGGCGACGATTTCCGGCGAGAGATTTGTATCCCTCCCTAGATCTGCCTCCTCTTTCAAACTCCTCTGTCTCTCCTCTTCCAATTTCTTCACCTTCAATTCCAGCGACCTGTAAACCAGGAAAGAACACCACCTTTCAGATCTCAATAAAAGAAAGAGAACAAGATTATTTCCACTGGATCGACAATGAACCGTTGGTTTATTTACACGATTGAATCGTCGCTTTGCTGGACCCCCCGCCGGAGCTCCTCGACGCGAATCCGGCGGAGCTGGTCAACCATGGGGACCAAACTCGAAGCGGACGAATCGGCGTCGTTTTGGGACATGAACCGTCGTTTGAGGTCACTGAACTTATCCTTGCATAACTGAGGAGTGAGCAAACCCAGCGCGTCGCTCCGCCGGTTCTGGAGTTCCACGGCGACACTCTCCCAGCTCTTGGTGCCGTGGCGGTTCACGGCGCAAGCCAGCAGTAGCTCGTCCAACGTGCCCCAGGGTTGCGCGGTGGTTTCTTGTTCCCTAGCCATGCTACGCTCATGTCATCGTCGTCATCATCACCACCAACTCCATCATTAGGGTTTTTGCCGTTTAGATTGGGTTTTCGCAATACTCTGTTCGTTGCCGTATATCCTTTTATTAGCGTTATGAGATTTACTTTTATATATAGTGTATCTTTCGATTTTACTCTGATCTCTGCGGTTCGGGTTCTTGATTCTCACTTTCAAAATGTTGGGCTTGATCTTGGAGCTGCTGCGGGAACTGGATTTCCTTCCCACTCTTGCCCCAATTCATATTCATTTTATTTTTCTCTTTTTTTTTTGTAAAATTACGATATTGTCCTTCTACCGGTTTCTCTTCTATTTCATCGTGGGGGACTCGGTGTCATTCTCCGTTCACCATGCGGTTCCTTTGTGCAAGTGACAGTTTGATCGTGCGCCGATGAATTTGCGTGGGACACGCTAATCACGCCTGATCTGTTCTGATCAAAGGAACGGGAAATTGCAGCAGCAGTCACAGCTCTTTGTGGCCATGTGCCTTTTTTTCTTTTTATAAAAAATTAAAAATTAAGATATTTTTTATATTAAAAATATTAAAATATTTAATTTTAATTATTTAGTAAATAAGATTTAAATAATATTATAATTGAGTTTTCAAATTTAATTATTCGTTTTCAAATTTTAATATTTAAATTTAGTTAATCACAAATTTGACTTTCACCAATAACTTAAAAAATATTTTTTATTTTTCAAAATTTTCCTATGTTAAAAAAAAGAAGTAATATTAACATTATATTTCATTCATTTATTACTTTTATTATATATCTTGATATTTTTTAATAATACAATATTTTGTTTTTCCAAACTTCTCCTTTTAAGTATGTTTTATGATTTATTTAATTTTTTAAAATATTCCAAAAGTACCCATAGCAAATCTTGTTTTGGCACATTTGATTGATAACAAGTGAGAAAATTTGAGGATTGAGGATATTCTTTCTGCTTGGAAGTGGGAGATTTTAATCTAAAACTTTTCCAATAACGAGCTTATAATATAAATTCAATTGCCAAGAAATATATTATACCTTCGAGATATACACGAGTTTATAGGGAAACGTTTTTCAAGCCGACTTTTATGAAAAAA